TGGCAGCCCATCATCCTGGGCAGATCGGCTCACGGGTCTGCTGGGCCTCCCCACTCCGTTCTTTCAGCCCCACCGATTGTGCTGCCCGTGGAAGAAGCACTTGCCTCTTGCGGGGGGGGGGGGGGGGGAAGGGCCACTGGGGCCTCTGGGGGATATTGTGCCTCGGCCATAATGACTGGGTTCTGTGGCCCATGGACTCTTTGGGGAACCTTCTCCCCAAACATCTGGGATGCAGAAGCCAGGAACAAACCATCTCCACGGGATCAGCCTTTCCCCGTAGCAGCAAGAGCTCACTCTGTGCCTGTCCCAGGAATGGCTGAGGGCAGCTCAGCAGGCTAAGCATTGGTTAACTCAGCCCTTCCTTATCATGGTGGGAAACACACCCTCCTCTCTGGCAGCTGCCCTCAATTCAGAGAGACTCCCTTCCAGCACACGCAAATATTTTTCCTTGGTGATTTGCAGAGAGAAAAAAGCCACTTCCAAATCTCAGAGCAAGTTCAATGCTTTATTTAAAATACCAAACGCTTCCAGGGTGAGGTAGGCGTCCATGTTTGCTCTTGTACTTTTGTAGCCAAAAGTCTTTACGCTGAGAACGTGAGTTTCATTCGATGGGCCAGCTAACTTTGCCCCACCGAGGAAGCAGGAATGGGGGAACGGAGAGCTGGGAGAGGAGGAGGAGGAGGAGCCCATGCAGAAGCTTGGGTGGCTGAGTCTGTCTGTCTGAAGGGGGGTGGGGTGTCTACAAGAGAGGTTATGCCCTGCTGCCCAGCCCAGGCCCTGCCTTCTTCCTAGGACTAATTCGGCAAGGACTTTCAGTGTGTTGCAAAGTGAATGCAAGAATAGCAGGAGACCACAGGTACAGGAATGGCAGTCAAGGGCGGCTGCTCCACAAGTGACGCTTCTGAGACCTCCAAAGATCCTGTGCTGCTTCCTGGCATAAGAGAGAGGTTGGGGTGGGGCTCCCTGCTCAGCCCGCGCAGAGGCCGAAGCGCTGCAGCTGACGTGTTCCCATGCCAGGAACAGGATCTGGGGCTGGGAGTGTCTTCACAGCTGAGCTGCAGAGGAAGCCCCCCCCCCCACACACACAACGGAAGGAAGGCCCCTGTGCCTGGAGGGCTCTTTTCACCCAGCCAAACCCTCTGGAGTTAACCAGCAGTTAACCTCTGAAGCGAAAGGCAGCCCTTCCCTGCCACGTTCTGCTTTCTTTGGGTTTTGCTGCAAGGTTTGGAAGGCTGCCCACAGCCCAGCCCAGGTTCCAGGGGTGATGGCAGTAACCCCCTGGCTACCCGCCAGCTGTGCCAGTGTCCCCCTTGTTCATCCCTGGTGGCTGGGGGTCCCCGAGGCTCTGGCATTGCCAACTCCAGAGCCAGGATGCCAGTGGTGCCTACCGGCCTCGGGAGACTCAAGGGGACTCTGAAGGACTCTTCCCTATCAAAGGGGGAGGGGCTTCTTTTGCCGGGGGGGGCCTGCGTGGGGCTGTGGGGGTCCGGTTGCACTGGGACTCCCAACTTTCCCCTCCAGTTTGTTGCTTGGTTGTTCCCCCCCCCCTTTTGAGGGAAGCGAGGGGGGGACATACATCCAGAAGAATGGGTTAAGTTGGCATCTAAGTGAAGCCTGTTTCCAAAATGGAGTCTAGGCTTCCATTTCATCTTCTCTGTAAGGGCTCAGGGTAGCCTTCAGGCTGACCCTCTTCACTGTGTACCCACAACAACAGCCCTGTGAGGTAGGTTTAGGCTGGGATAGAACAGCCGGCCCCAAATCAGGGAGCTCCCCAAGGGTCTCTGGCTGCCCCCAGGGAAAGTCGCCCAGGGCGACCAAGACTTTGGCACCATTGTGGGTGGGGGAGGGGAAGGCAGGCTGGAGATGTCCAGGACTCTCCACAGCCCCCCCCCCCCCCCCGCCTGGCCCCCCCCACCCCCCCGCCCAGAGGAGGCCAAGAAGTTAATCCTGGCATTTAAGATTAAGGCCAGCCGGGCCATCTTTGTTCTTGGTGGCACCCCACAGGTCGGCCGGCTGTCCTGGCAGGGCCTTTGGCTACCCCAGACACGCAGGGTTGCCATGTGGCTCTGGGTTGGAGGCCATCATCCCTGCTGGGAGGCTAAAGAACCAGCCGGTTCCCCCCTGCAGGGCCAGAGAAGGGCAGCCGGGTGTTGATCCGAGATCAGGGCAGGAGGTGAACCGTTTGGCTCTCAGGCCTGGGCGAGCAAGGGTGGCCGATGCTTCTGGCGGGCTTAGAGGAGAGCAGCGCTGAGGGCAAAAGCCCAGGGCAGCCATGGAGAAGGGCCGGCGTGTGCCAGAGCAGCTCAGATGCAAATCCTCCCCTGTCCTTATGGGGAGGTTACAATGGCAGAATCTCCTTGCAGCTCGGACAGTCCCCTCCCAGCCCTTTTTTACTCTCTGGGAGAATTCCTCCCGAGCCACTCCCTCCCTCGAAGTTGGGCTCCTGGGTGGCTCTTCCTCCTGCCTCCCAAGGCCCTTCGCACAGACTGCCAGCGTCGCTCCTGGCTGGGTCTCAGAGCAGCACCTGACTTTCCCGCCCTGCTCTCACCCACAAAAGGTTCTCCTGGACACACCCAGGTCAGGGCCTGCCCCCATCCCTAAGCCTGCCCTTCCTCTGTTGTGGGAGCCAAGCCTGGGGTGGGGGTAGGGAGAAGGAATAGCTGGGGCGGCAATGGGCCTCTGCAAGGAACCTGGGCTGGAGCCAGTCCCCTCCCAGCAGGAGCCAAAGGGCTGCCTGAGATGCGGACGTTTGCTCCCTTGTCCAGGCTGGCCAAAGGAAACCGGGCCCGGTTGCGGCGTGAACGGAGGACCACAGAACTGGCCTTGTTAAAGGTTACCTCTGCCTTGTGCAAGGGAGGCAACCAGGCGCTGGCTTAAGTCTGAGCAGGGACATGGGGAGGCCAGCTGCAAAGCAGCCGAAATGTGCCCCACCCGGGCATTAGCAAGGGCCGCTGCCCATCGCAGGGAGGGGGCCTAGGTTAGGCCCACCAGGAATGGGGGTTCCCGAGCCCCCCCCACCTTGCACAGAGCCTCTATGGGGCTTTTCGCACAGAGGGCGCTGGAAGACCTTGGCACACTCTGTGGAGCAGCTCTGCCGCCTCTTCACTGGGCGCTGGCTGGCCAAGTTCTCCATCGGAAGCTCTCCTGAGACGCGGCTCCCACCCACTTAGTTTCCTGCTGCTTGACAGGAGGAAACGAAACAAGGCTGCCCCACCTTCCGCCCACGGCCCACACCTGCCATCTGTGCCCAGGCCAGCTCAGAACTGGCACACTGGGGACAGAGACAGGGCTGGGCGGGGGAATTGGCGCCCTTTGCTGAACCAGAGCTGCAAACTCTTGGGAACAATTCTGTGGAGACCTGCTGCAGATGCAGCTATTATCACCCAGCTCTGCCCAAGGGTAGTAGCTGGGTGGGAAGGACCAGGAAGGCTGCGGGTTCAAGCTGTAGAGCTCCATCAGCCGCAGAAAAGAACCCAGCTGGATCAGGCCACAGCCCACTTGTGACACCTGCTTTTCAGTTGGCACTCAGGGCCTCTCACAAGCCTGAAATTCCGCCCCCCCACCCTGAGACCTTCTCCCCCCGCCCCCATTGTTTTCTTGGTATTTGGGGCTGGTCATCCTGCTGAGCCTTGACCGACAGCCCTTGTTTAGCCCAACCCTCCCATAGTCAGCCCAGTTGGAGGCTGTCCCTGTTAATGATGCATTTGGGGTTTAACTGCTTCCCCTCAGCTACCTGGTCTCAGGTCTGTGAGAGCTTCTGACGGGGCTCCAAAGGCTGCTGGCTTCCCAGAAAGGCCTGGGGAAGAGCGCCCTCCTCCCACGTGGCTGGAGGGGGAGATGCACCCAGCTGTGGGACACAGAGGTGCACCCCCCCCCATGATTAGCCAAGGGGACTCTACCGCCAGACCTGCCAGGAGGACCACAGCCAAATGGCTCCCCCCCCCCCAAAGAAATGCTCCCCCGTCAGTCTCCCAGCCCACTTAGGCCATGCACCATCACAACTGCCAGACTGAAACCTGCAAGCTCCGCCCTCTATTCTGCCATCCGGGTTTTGGTGATGCCGGCCAGGTCCGCCTGCTCCTCTGCACGATGCCAAAGAAGCCCAGCCTCCCCTCAGACGCAGCAGGCGTTTCTCAGCAGGCACCCCGGGCCCAGCTAAAACTGCTGAATCCCAAGCAGAGCAGCAAAGGAGGGGACCCCTCCCCCAGCCTCACTGGGATCCCTTAGGTAAGAGATGGAGATGCAGTGGAATTGGGGAACCAGGGGCACAATCTAGGCACAGAGTGGGTGAGGGCTGGAACACCTCGGCCCCCAATAAGGAGGTTGACTTCTGCCAGCACTCAGTTGCCCCCTCCCCCCATTCTAGTGACCAGCGGTCCACCCCCAGGCCCCCTTCAGTGCAAGTCTAACTCAACCCCCCACCCCCACCCCCTCCTTTCTGGCCATAGAGAACTTAGGCCCTGCAAAGTCCCCGCCCCACATAACCATCCCTGGGCTAACAGAACAAAGGGCAGGCCTGGGGAAGGATGAGGGGTCCCGCAACTGCAGATCAGGGGCCGGAGGAGGAGGGCTCCCAGCTGCGGCTTCTGAAGATCCACTGGGAACGGCCACACGCCTCCTCTCTGCCAGCCAAGGGGCTGCCACCTTCACCACCAGCACTCACCGGCTCCCAGAGCAGCTCTGGGCCTTAAACGCCACGGCTACACTTGTTCCAAGAGGCCACCACAAGGGGGCGCAAATGGCCAAAATGCGTCCTTAGAAAAACCTGGGATCCGGCTGGAGGATCCGGTGTTGCTACCTGGCCCCTTGCCTGCCCTTCTCCTCCGTTGGCTGCAGGGCGGAGCTGTTGCCCACCAAGACCCTTGCTGTGGGCACCATCCCTGGGGTCTTCTTGCTCCAGGAGTCAAGCAAAGTGGGCTGGCAAGGGGCGCCCAGCCCTTCCGGGAGGAGGAGGAGGAGGGGGAGGAGGAGGGGGGGGGGGAGGGGGAGGAGGAGGAGGAGGAGGAGGAGGAGGAGGAGCGCATGAATGGCAGCTGGCCCATGGCTGGTACTCCTTCCGTGGCCCTCCTGGCTGCCTTGACTGGGACAAGCAAGTGGGTGCAGGCAGCGGATGGAAGTGGTCCTCACCATTTTATTGCACAAGGGGAGAGAAGCCGCCGCATCCCCCTGTCACCACCTCCTCCTGCCTGGGGGGAGGCAAGGGCTAGGCAGCTGCCCCTGATAAGCAGAGACCCCCCCCCTCCCTGCACCCAGCCCAGGAACCCAGAGGCAGCTCCAGCCAGGCATTCAAGCCGGCACCGGCAGAGGGTGGCTGAGGACGAGACGGGACGGTGGTTCAGGGTCCCCTCCATGGAGGTGCTCTTGAGCATGAAGCCCAGTGGCCTCTTCGCCAGGCGCAGGACGCCCACGCTCAACCGTCCCGCACACAGGACACTCCCCCACACGGGCCCTTCTGCCCAACACCCCCCAGGCCCCCCGAGTCCGAGGGCCAGGCGATGGCTCCTTCCATTGGGGAGAGCGCACAGCCCCCGGCCACCCCAGGGCAGGTGGCCTGGGCTGCTGCTGGACTGCTTCTCGGAAGGCCCCTTCCAGTCTCCTCGCTGCTGCCCCTCAGGTCCGACCTGTGGCCGCCCCCTCTGCCCCCCCCCCAGCAGCCGCTACTCTGCTGGGATGGGCGTGTTGCAGTTCCCGTGGTAGATGCGGACGTGGCCGTTGCAGCAGAAGTAGCGCTCGAAGACATCGCTGTAGCCGTGGTCCCGCCACCAGGTGCAGAGCTGGCGGTTCCAGGTGCAGTCCAAGACGTGGAAGAGCTCGGGGTGCTCCATGCCCACCAGGGTGAAGAAATCCTGGTCCCCCAGGTGGCCCTTGAAGTGGAACTTGCTGGCCAGCTGCTGCACCACCGCCGGCTCTAGCAGACGGTTGTAGAGCTCTGACTGGCGCATGGCCTCCAGGTCCAGCAGCAGCACCCCGCTGTTGAAGCCAGGCAGTCCGTCCGGAGGCGGCTCCCCCACCTTGGTCCCGGGATGCTCCTGCCGATACTGCCAGAAGATGTGCCTGGGGTGGGAGGGAAGAGCAGAGAGGTCAGTCCTGCCCACAAATGAGACTATGGGCGAGGAGGGAAGCGGACACGGCAGCAAGCCTTCCTGCCTCCACAGAGGGGCCGTTTCCGAGCTCTCGGGTGCCCCAACCTGAGGAAGCCCCCGGAGCACCAGGGACAGCCGCTGCCCCCTTGCAAAACCACGCCGTCTTTCTCCCTCTCCCTCCCTCTCTCGCCCGCAGGCGTGGGGGGAGGCTTCATGCCACTACTTGCCAGGGGACAATGCCCTCTGGCCACAGGTGGCACCTGCCCTCAGGGAGGGCAACCCAGCCTGGAGCAGCTCCAGAAAGGAAGGAAGCCCTTGGTCCATTCGCAGCAACCGCTTCCTTGTGGGTTGAAGTGACGCATCTCCGTGCCCCTCGGCAGCGATGGGCACAGAATGGCATGAAGCCCCTGACCCTAAAGATACATTGCCATGAAGACTGGGAGCTTTAGGCGGCTTCTTTTCCAGGACGCCAAGGCTCTGTCTCTGACTGGCCCATCACTCTATCCCAGGGGTGCCGGGGGGGGGGCAGATCATTGGAGCATCCTGGGAATAGCAGGGTACCCCAAGAGGCCTCCGTGGGTAACGGGGCCAGGGTTGCCACAGGACCCTGCTCAGCTGGGGGAGGCAAGTGACGAAAGCCTGTGGCAGCCCCAGGAGCCGGTCTTCCCCCCGGTAGCTGCCTTGGCCTCAGTCTGGCCGCACAATCGCCCTTCCATCATCACCTGGCCCTGGTGCCAGGCAGGATCTCCACCAAGCCTTGTCTGCAGGCTGTGAGGCAGCCTCCATTTGTTGGGCAGAGGAGCCATCGAGACCCCTGTGCCCTACCAGTGTCCAGTAAGACCTCCCCCTGCCCCACAGCCCAACCTGCGGTTGTCACACAGACCGCCTGCCTGCCCCACATAACACCAGGGTCCCTCCCGCCCGTGGGCTTTGGCTGACTTCCAGAAGCCCATGCCGTGCCAGGGCTAGCCTGGTCAGCACCCTCCCATCCACAGGGGCCCTCAGCAGGGAAGGGCCTGGGGAAAGACACCATGCCAGGCGTGGCTACATACCGATAGACCGGCTGCATTTCTTGGGCGATGCCAATAACTGCTCCTTCTGGGAAGTTGTCAAATTCCTGAAACAGTTCCCGGATATTGGCCCGGTACTCCACATCCAGGTCCACCTGTATGACCCGTGAAACTTCTGGAAGCACAAAAAGAGCAGGTAAGACAGGGGCCCCTGCTGCCTTCAGCAGTCCCGGTCGCTAAGCAGGGGAGCCCCCCCCAAAGACCGGGTCAGAAGGGGGGGCCTCTTCAGATGTCCTTTCAGCAGTCCTTTCTGGGGGGCATCCACTGGGTAGACAACTGGGCTTCCTGAGGAAGGGGCCTGCCTTTTCTCCCCCAGCCACTTGAAGGCCCTTCCTGCCCAAAGCCAAACCCCACGGCTGCTTCTCCACCCGCAGAACCCCAGAAGCGGCTGAGCTGAGGCCGAGTCCAGCCTTCGGCTCTGTGGAAAGAGGAAACACTCTGACTCTGGACCTTGAATGTCCAGTACCCTCAGCCAGGTCTCCTGAGGGGGGCAGGGGGGCTCGGTGGCCACCTGTGCCCTGGCTGGTCTCCCCCTGGAACAACAACCAGCAAAGTAGAAAGCATGGTGGAAGGTCAAGCACACCAACGACTCCCCTCTGCAAAATACATTTTCCCAGGAAGAACGGTCAAAATGTGGCCATGAAACATTCAAGAGGATCTGGGTGGACGGAAAAGGCCCCCAGGCCCCCAGCAGCCGAGAAGACCTTAACAGGCACTTCCTTAGACGCCTCTGTTCAGCTCCAGCGCCTTAGGATTCCTCCCCGCCCCCCGCAGGTCCTTCTTTGGGGGGGGGGGGGGGAATCCAGACTGGCTGCGATGCTACAAATACTTCTTCAAGTTTATCCTTCACAGCCGGTTAGTTCACAAAGGTCCCCTGGGCACCGATGCCCCCCAGCGCCCCCTCACCTCTGGGCATGAGGTGGTGCATGGCGACCGAGAGGAAGAAGAGCGAGTCCCCGTAGTAGCTGCCAGCCCCCGCACTGAAGAGCTTCTGCATGGCCTCCACCGTGGGCTGCAGCTTCTGGGTCAGCACCTCCAGGTCGTGGAAGACCACCTGCGGAGGAGGGCAGAGGGGCTCTCAGGGCAAAGGGGGGGGCTCTCCCCCAACAGGGCACGCCCCCCCCCCCCCTTCTTTGGGGGCGCCCCGGAGGCCGGGGAGCTACAACCGACGGGGCCCCCGGGGGGGGCCCCCCGGGGGGGGGGGGGGAACGAGGCCCAAGGGAGCCGGGCCTGCGGATGCCGCTCCCTCCCTCCCCAAAACCAAACTCTCCGCCTGGCTGAGGGGCCAAACGGGACCCAGCGGAGACCACCTGGCCGGGCGCGGCTGCTGGGACAAGCCGAGGGGGCGGGGCTGAGGCCGAGGGAGTCCCCGCTCCCGAAACCGGAAAGAGCCGCCCCGGCGTCGGTTCACAGGGTCCCGCCGGGCCGGCGAGCGAGGGGAAGCCGGAGAGCCGGGGGCGACGCGAGCCGGGCCCCCCCGAGGGGCGGGTGGGGAGGGGTCCCCCGCGGGGCCCACCTTGTACTTGAAGGCGGCGGGGCGCAGCGCCTGCTGGAGCAGCTGCCGGGCGGCGCTCCGGCTGGGCCCGTCGCAGAGCAGGTGCAGCGCCAGCGCCTCCCGCGGGCCCAGCTTGCCGAAGCGCACCAGGGAGCGCAGCGCCGCCGCCGCCTTGGCCCGCAGCGCCTCGTTGCGCTCCGCCTTGGCCAGCACCGCCAGCACGTGCAGCTCCGCCGCCTCGGCCCGCAGCAGCAGCTCCTCCTCGCCCGCCTTGGCCTTGCTGTCCGGCGCCGGCCCGGGGGGCGACGGGGAGGGCGGCCGAGGGGGCCCCGGCGGCGGCGGGCCGGGCCGAGCGGGGCTGGAGCCCGCGTAGTAGAGCGCGCAGGCCAGCGCTATCGCCGCCGCCGCCGCCAGAGCGCAAGGCTGGGCGCGCAGCACCGCCGGACGACGCGCCATGGCCGCCCCGAAGCCCCGCCCCCCACAGAGGAGGAGGGCCCGCCCCCGCGGGGGGGAGGGACCGGCGGGGGAGGGTCGGTCTCGCCGCCTGGACGGGGAGCTGCTCCGGAGGCACGGGGGAGGGGGGGGCGCTCGCCGCCGCCGCCCTTGCGCGCCCGGCCCGCCCTGACATGCGGAAGCGAAGGCATCGCCCTGCGATGGGCTTCCGAGGCTTTAAGCGGGGAGTCCCCGGGTCCCCCCAGTGGCGAGCGGCCCACCTCCAGCCTTCCCCGGGCCTTCGCGAAGGGCACCGAGGGCGGCCCGGAGCCTCCCCGAGCCCAGGGACTGCTTTGGGAAAGGGGGCGGTGGGCTGCAAGTAAAAACCACCAGCCGTGAAAGGAGCCCGGGCAATGCCAGGCCCAGGAGGCGCTTGGGGGTCTAGGGCAGCCCCGGTGGGTGCAAAGGCCCCTCCTGGCCCAGGAGAAGATTGGGGGGTCCTGGGGAATGATGGGGGGGGCTTCACCCCCACCCCCCTTTCCCAGAGGCTGCTCCCATCCAGGCTCCTGAAGCCCCGGAACCTTCCCTGGGATGCACATCACATTCGGCAGATCAGCTGGTGGGAAACCTGGTCCTGAAGGCCAAGAGCCAACCTGGTGGGAGGGAGGCCCAGTGGCAGAGCCCAGGAGGACGGAGCCCCCTTCCCATCCCGGAAGAGGCCAAAACTGGCGCTCTCTTGCCCGGGTGGCGGTAGGGTAGAAGCCAGGGGGTGAAAGCACAAGGAAGGCCGCCTCTGGAAGGACCCATCGCGGAGGGCAGGGAGGTGCTGGCTTCTTGGCTGGAGAGGTGTCCTGGGGGGCCCTCCTGAGGAGGGGGCGGCCCTTCTGACTCTGGGTTGCCAGGTGTGCCCTGTGGCAGATTCCCCCTCTCAGCTGCCTCCCAATCGCCTCCACCCAGCTCCATCAAAAGCAATGACACATATGCAGTCGAAGCAGGTTTATGTATAAAAAGGGGGAGGGGAATAAGGATACATGGGGGGTGGGGGGTGGAGAGCTCATTCGTTGCAGCCCTTGGGCCTTTCAGGGCTCCGGTGTGTCCGGTGGCTGGAAGCGCTTGAGCTTTTCTGGATTATTGGAGGCCATCTGGGAGAAGTCCCGAAAGATGTCCTGGTAGGTTTCATCTCCTGTGAAAGGAGGGAAGACGCGGCAGCACTGAAGGGATGCCCATGCCCCCCCCCCCCCCCCCGAGGGCCCTGACTAGCCCCCCTCCCAGCCTGTCCTGGGGCGGGGTCCCTCAGTTGAGCTGCCCCGTCGTGCTCCCAGCCAGCCCCCCCTCCCAGGAGGTTTCTGCAGCCCCCTGCCAGCGACCTCCAGGCCACTCCAGGAACCCTGCAGTTCCCTGCCTGGGATGCCAGGCGCTGCGGCACCCAAACTGCGGTGCTTGAAGATTCAGCATCTATTTGGGCAGGTCCAGCCTGGGCGAAGAAGAGCAGCAGCCGCCAAGGCCAGAGCACGAGGTGGCCTCCAGGGGCGGGAGAGGAGTGGCTGACCTTCCCACTCCCCCCTCCCCCCCCCCCCCCGCCGACAAGCACCAGCCCCCGTCCCGCCCCCCCCCCCCCCATTTTGCCTGCCCTGGGGCTGATCCCAGCCCTGCAGAGGGATTGGGCATCGCCGGCCCCACACCAGCCCAGGGGCTTCTGGGCCTTGCCAGTTGTGGGTGCCTGAAGGAGGGAGCACCCTGAATTCAAAGACCAGCCTTCCAATATTTGAGGGGCTGCCCAGAGAAGAGGGGCTCAGCCTATTCCCCCTCAGAACCTCAAACACCCACCCCCCCCCGAGGAACTCCCGTGGGCCCTTCCCGTCCTGCCTCTCGGTGGGGCTATGGGCAGGCGGACCTGGCTGGCCGTAGAGGCCCTCCGACTCACGCATCTCCTCGTTCATTCTGGCCAAGCGCAGCCTGTGGAGAAAGGAAAAAGAGGCTCAGGCCGGAACACCTGAGGGCCACCCCACCTCTGCCCAGCCTCCTCCCAGCCTGGTCCTCCTCGTGAAAGGGCAGGAGCCGCCCAGCCTCGTCCCCAGGGAGACCACGAAACTCCGTCCTCACAGGGTCACGATATCGGCGTTGGCGGCTTCTATGGCGACGCTCAAGGGGTCCTTCCCATCCTCGTCCCTGGCATGCTGGTTTGCCCCCCTTTTCAGGAACAGGCACACCTGCCTGTTAAGGGAACCAGCACAGCGGTCAACTCCCTGCAGAACAGAGCCTCCGCGGAGGAGCCTTCCGAGGAAGGCTGGCAGGGGCCCAGAAGACCTACCCGGTGTGCCCCAAAAGGGTGGCATGGTGCAGCGGCCCTCGGCCCTGGGCGTCTCTCAGGTTCACGTTGGCCCCGTTCTGGAGGAGGAACTCACAGGTGACCAGGGAGCCCTGGCGGGGAGACGAGGGGGATCCAGCCTGAGCTCTCGGCCAGAAGAGGGCCTCAGACCTCCCTTCCCCAAGCTTTTTGCGGGATGCAACCCGAACCCTGCGCCCTTGGATCCGGTGGCCAGGGCAGCCGGCAGGGCCGGCAAAGCTCACCCCACGAACCGCCTGGATCAGCGGAGTGAAGCCGTTCTTCTCCCGGTTGCTCCAGTTGACGCCTGCCCCCTGAGCCAGGGCTTCGGCCATGCGGGGGAGGCTCTTCTGGTAGGCCGCCTGGTACAGCTGCAGCCTTGCGACCCGCATCCTGGCATCCTGGGAAGCAGCAGCAGCAGCCGAGGCGGCCTCCCCCTGGCTTTCTCCCCCTGGAGGAGGAGAGGCGCTTCCTGTCTTGCCGCTCTGCTTCCCCCCCCCCCCCAGCTCAACTCAGCTGGAGGAGGCCCAGCGGCCCACTGCAGAGAGGGCTGAAACAGAACAAGCTGCTGGCCATCTCATACCAGTCACACTTTAGACATTTTCACACACACACGTCCAAAACATGTTCCTGCTTGACTCTCTCGGGCAGCCCCTGGGGGGTGGGGAGGGATGGGGATCCCACCCAAGGAGAGAAGACGAGGGTCCCCACACAGCCTCCCCAGCAGGAGCTCTTACCTGGTTCATGCAAGATGCCAGCTGGGGCCACGGCTGCCAAAATCTCTTTGATCTCCCCTTTGCCGGGCGGGTAAAAAAAAAAGCGGCGGGCGCTGGGGACTGTTGTAGGGAAGGGCAGCCCTTAGCAGTGGCAGCGGCCGGGGGGGGGGGGGGGGGGGTGGGACACACACCTGTCTTGGCAGACTGCGTGCAGCCTTGGCTCGCCCACCCCGGGGCAGAGGGCCGACAGCAACCCCAGAAGTTGCAAAGAAGCCCAAAGCAGCAGCCATGCGGTGCACCAGAGCAGTCTTACTACTACGTGGATTTGAGGAGCAGTCAGAGTAGGAGAAGAGCAAATCTAATTCACTGAGACGGAAGAGAGCCCGGCTGCCCCTCACACCGGTCCCTGGGCCGTGGCTCAGTGGCAGGCCGGGGAGGGGGAGGGGGAAGAGAGTGGCTGGCCAAGAGCGGCCATCAGTAAGCGCAAACCCCGTGGCCTTCTCTGCTTCCCTCTGGGCTTTGGAAAGCAGGACGTGGGAGCGTTTCCCAGGGTTGCCCGGACGGGATTCTCCCCCCCCCCCTTTTACAAGAGAGAGAGAGAGAGAGATGGGGGGGGGGCGAGGGGGGAGACGTTTCAGCCAGCAGCCCGGATACCTTTCGAAGGGGCGGCTGTGGTTCCAGGGCTGACTTGCTTCACCACCTCTTGGCTGGGGGTCAGGGCTGGGTCAGCAGGGGACACAAACCGGCGGTCCACATACTTGGCTCTGATGTACTCTTCCTTCTCCTGCCTGCATACAGAAAATACACCAGGTGAGCTTCCACCCCCCCCCCCCCCCCCCGGGGCCCCCGCGGTTGCAGGGACTGGCTGGAGCTTCCAGCCTTTTGCCCCAGAAGCAGCCAAGGGCCATGGGATGGGCGTCTCGGCCCCACAGGCAGGAAGCCGGCATCCAGGACGACTCGTTTCCTAAACTGGACAGCCCCCTCCTCACAAAGGCACACGGCAGCCCTTCCCTGCCCTAAGGTGGAAAGCGGGGGAGGGGGGCCAGGAACGCAACCAGCAGCAAAGCCAGCACCGATGGACGGATGGACCCAATTTGTACAGCCGTCCATCTCACCCAAAGCAACTCCCAGCTTCGCCGTGCCAGACTAATGTTATTACTGTTTTTCTTTTTGACACGTTACTGCTTTAGTAGATAGCGGGAATGCCAAATAGTATACTATGACTTCAGTTAAAAAAGAAGTTTCCCATGATATTCTTATTTAAAAAAAAACAATAAATATGAAGTAGACGATGGACGGACAATATCCAAGGAGCGATCCTAAATGGCTTTCCAACCATGGGGGGTGGGGATACCAAGCAAAGGCCCCACCTGCACAAGGAGGCCGGGAAGCGACTCTGCGGGGCTCCCAGTGAGTGGGGCAGGAGGGGGCTTTGTGGGGGCTGCTGCGCTTCCCTTCAACTGGGCCAAACAGGCCTCTGCCTGAAGCAGGTCGTGCCCTCGCCAGTCATTGGACTGGATGGCCTCTAAGGTCCCTTCAGCTCCAGCCTTGTGGGGAATGGGGCCCCTAGCCTAGTGGAGACCGAGGAGGGTTGAAGGGGAAGGGCAAAGGCAGCCGCTGTGCTGCTAAGTACCTTTGGCTTCCAGGATGGGGCTTCTTGGCTCCCATTTTTTCTCTGTTTGCTTCATACACCCTGTTTATGACACTGTTTCCCAATTCACACATCAGCTGTAGGAAAATCACAGATCATCAGAACCTGAGAGACCCTAACTCTGCGCTGCCTCTTCGGGTGGGGGGCTGGGGCGAGGCCTCTGGGACTTTTCGGTGATGATACAGTGGTCCCTACTTCAAAGGCCCCATTGGCAGAATCCGAAAGGGGTGCCCGCCTGGGCTGATCTGAGCAGAGGTCCTGCCCTGGCTGGGCCTCAGCCTCCCCCCCCCCCGACTCCCAAGGGCCTCTGCTTCCCCCCCCCGACACACACACAGAGGCGGTACCTTCAAAAGCTCTGGCTCCCACGAGTCCAGCGTCAAGGACCGGACCTTGGAGAAGTGGACGCCCAGGCTCCTGCAGGGCAGGCAGAGGGCACCGACTTAGGAAGGAGGCAGGGAAGGAGGGGAGCGCCAGGGGCTGCGCCCGCTTGCCCACCTGTGAATGCCCGAGCACTCAATGCAGAGTGTGATGCCAAGGTTGATGCTGGCCCAGCGGGGGTCCGCCTGGCCACAATCGCAGCACGCGGCGTTGCCGGCAATGGCCTGGACCCTCTGGAGGGAGCCTTCCCCCTTCAGCGACTTCTCTCTGGACTCCTGGCTGCACTCGGGGCTCCCTGTGGAGGGGGGCCGCTTCCTCTCCACCTGCGGGAGAAGCAGGAAGGTGCTGGGGCTGCCCCTCCTCAGCCCCCAAGACCGCCTCCCGGACGTCCCCGATGGCGCCTCGCCTCGTCCCAGGCCAGAGCCGGCACTGACTGCTCCGCTTGCGGCCCCCAGTGGCGGTGGTGGCAGCAGCAGCGGCAGCAGCCGCAGGCGGAGCAGGGGCCGCCAGGGGGGGGGGGGGGGGGGGGGGGGGGGGGGCACCCACCTCGGCCTCCTCCCCCTTCTCCCTGTAGGCACTGGCGATGCTGGTCTGCACAGCCTGGATCCACGCCTGGCGCAGCTTCTCCGAATCAGCCTGCAGGATGCAGCTCCTGCCCAAGAGAGCCACGGTCAGGCGAGTGAGGGGAGCCCCTGGGGGCGCCTGGCTTTTGGCAGCACCTGCCCCCCCCACCCCCAAGAATTAAGGGTATAAATGGGATATCAGTTCACACCTTCCAGCCTTAAAGTCAAAGCCCCCCCCCCCAATTTCCCCGGCTGGGGCATTTTCCCAACCCAATCGGGGGGGGGGGGGGGGCAAAAAAGTGATCCCCAAAAAGGGGGGGGGGGGGGACACAACAGACGGAGGGGGCTTCTTGCAGAGTGAGAGGTCCTCTGGTCCTGCTAAAGGAAAGCTGAACAGGGGTGTTGGGGGGGGGGTGTTTCCTCTGCCCAGAATTGAGAGGGAGGAGACCCGGCCCCAGTTCAGCCAGGCAGACTCTGGGAAAGGACTCCTTAACCTCAGCTGAGAATGGGAGGTTTCAGGCTTCTCCCCTCAATGTTCGTCCCAGACACATTTGTACTGTTGCTAAACATGGTCAGGTTCGATCTTGGCTGGGAAGGTGGTTTCCTTTCTGGCGTAGCAGAGTCAAAGCGGCCAATTGGGGTTTTCAGAAACGGCACCAACTCCGAAAGGGATCCGTTCGGCAAGCAAGTGATACGGGACCTCCGGCTGGCCCCAGGGGCGGGCCCGGGGCAGGGGGGTGGGGTGGGGGCCTTCGGGCTGAGCCCTCCCACTCACTTGGTCGGGGAGACCACTTCGAAGCAGAAGCGCCTCTCTAGGTCCTCACAGGGCTTCACTGTGCACAAGCGCAGGTCTTCCACCACCACGGTGGGCGCATCCTGGGGGAGGGAGGGAAGCTGAGCTGTCTGCACGGCCTGGTCCCCACCTGGAGCCCCCCCTTGCCCCCCCCCCCCCGGGGGGGGCCCCCGCGCGGGGGGGGGGGTCCCCGGGCAGCCGAGAGAGAGGCCAAGGAGGGGGAGGCCCAGGGTGCCTGATGCCAAGCTGTGCCCAGCCGTCCTGAGCAGGCAAGCCTTGCGTATGCCACTTGCGGGATGGGCGCCTGCCCACCCAGCCCCACCCCTGCCCTGGGCGGGCAAGCCAGGGCAGAGAGGGCGCCAGCGTCCCAGAACAACCTTCCTTTTGCCCTCATTGCGGACGAGGACCAGGCCATGCCAACAGCAGCTCCAGGTGGGCTCCCCAGCCCCCCCGCCCCCCGGGACTTACCCTGAACTTCTTCTGGTAGACCAGCTGGTTGTTCTGGATGGAGAACCAGCGCCTGCGCAAGGGAAGGCAGCAGACTCAGCACCGCCCTCGACATGCGGGGACCGAGGCTGAAGGGCACCCGGGCGAGGGCCTCCGCCCAGGGACTCCCCTGGAGACCTCAGGGTGGGCACTGCATGAAGCAGGGTACGTGTGTGTGTGTGTGTGTGTGTGTGCGCGAGAGAGAGAGAGAGAGAGAGAGAGACACACACACTCAAGGGCCTCCGCAAAGCAGCCAGAGGGGGGCCCTGCTGTGCTGCTCTAACAGCGAGGGAGGGGTGGGAACGCTGGGCTCAGCAGTCCAGGGGCAGCAGCAGCTCCTGGGCCCCCTCAGAGACCTTAACCCCAAAAGGAAACTGGCCAGGACCCGGTTTACGCCCAGTGAGCCCACGACGGCTGGCCGGGATCCAGAGAGTGCTTAGAAAAAGCCCCCTGGGGGGTGGGGGGGGGAACCGAAGGGGGGGAGAGCAGAGGGGGAAGAGTGCTAATGGGGGAGTTGCGCCCCTTTACCTTTGGGTTCTTTTCTGAATGCCCCCCCCCCGTGACAAATGCTGATAACTCCAGAGATGCGCCCCCCCCCCCCAAAAAAGCAGGCTGAGCCACAGGCACAGGGGCCTCCCCACTGCCCACCCCAAATGGCTCTGCGCCAGCAGGATGATTCCCCCCTCAGAAGCAGCTACCCGGCTGGCACTGGGCGGCCACTGCTCTCCACTGTTCCAGGCAGACGCAGCTCTGCTGGGATGACGTCCAGGGCTCTGGACTAGCCAGGGCAGGGCAGGGATGGGGGGGGGCAGAGACCCTCACGTTGCAGTAACTGGCCAATGCTGGGCACTGAGCACCTAAGGGGGGCTCCAACCCCACATGCTGCATCTCGGGTGGGTAATGTGGCATCTCTCCGGGCAGGAGAGGCTGCCACACCAGCTGAGAGCCGCCTCCATCAAGGGCTGCTCTCCCAGGAAGCAAACTCCGGCCCAGCCAGGGGCTCTTGCGGCCTTTGGAGGGGCACCAGGCGCCCTCAAGGACAGGGGAGGGGCAGCCAGGCACCTTCGGCCCCCAAGGAGAGAGAAATGGCAGAGGCGGAAGCGGCACAAGGGGAAGAGACTGAGGGGAAGCCGCAGAACCGGCAGGCAACGTGCAGCAATAAGAGGGACGGTGCTACCAATGGGGGGGGGGGTGGAGAGAAGGCAGAGAAGACGGGCTCAGAAGGCATCACCTACCTTGGGGGGTGGGGGTGGAACAGGGCGGGGCGGGGGCACAGCTGCCATATGCATTCAGCATGGAGGTGGAGGACCCCTCCCCATCCTCAAGGAGGGGGAACAGGAGGAGGGATGGTTTCCTTAACAGCCACAGGGCGGAAGGGTTAAGCCCCCCCCCCCCATGACCCCCACCCTGGGCAGCGCCTCTCCTCTGATGCGTCCCCCCCCCATTGTTTATTTATTGTCAAACTTATGTGGGGGGGCCCACCTCACAAAAAAGGGGCTCTGGGAGGCATACAAGGAAGCCAAAAGCAATAAAGGTATCCAAGCAATTATTAATATTATTATTGCTAAAAATCTTTATAAAAGGCGTAAGCGAAAAGGAAAAGGCTCTTATGGGGGGAGCGAGGTTACTGACCTTGGAGCCACAGAGATACCCGGAGAGTTAGAAGGGGGGGGGGGGGGGGGGGG